ATTGATTGTTTTCAATAAAGTCTTCTTCCCGTAAGAACTTTGGTCAGCTTACTTATTTTATGTATTAAAGTAATCTAATACATTGGCGAGCCACCCAAGAACAGCTAAGCCAAATACAGCAAAATCTAACAGAATAAATTAAACTAAAACTTAACTGGCTAGCCAGCTAATACATCTTAATGGTACAGGCCCTTTGTGTTTTACTTAACAAATGGAAACATACAACTTGATAACTATTACGCTTATTTTTATTTCAGTAGATGATAATATAAGCTTACTAGGACTTTTTACAAAAGATAAGAAGAAACTCATATCTTACTATCCTTCAACTTAGTCTCTGATTTATCAGGGATCGCCACAGCTTAATAAACCACCAGTTACTCTGGCATATGTTATATGCAGCAGATGCCCTTCCAGACGCAACCCAACAATGCCATAGCCATTTACACACAGATGCATTCACCACGGCCAATTTAGTTTACCCAGTTCACCTATACCACATGTCACTGGACTGTGGGAGAAACCGGAGCACCTGGAGGAAACCCACGTGAACATTCAAATACCACACAGAAATGCCATCTGGCCACATGGAACTTGAACCAGCAAACCTTACTGAGATGACAGTGCTAAACACTGAGCCACCGTTTTGCCCCTTAGTCTCATATCGAAGTCAATTTATTCTTTAAACCTCTGGCATTGTCACACGCACATTGATAAAAATAACCCCTCAGACCAAAACACTTTTGTTAAGTGTATTTATTTTATATAATTTAAATGATCTGAAAATAGCCAACATTTTATAGATTTTAACTTGATGCTTTATTTATTTCATCTATGTGATGCTGAAAGCCCTGATCAAGATACATTCTGTTTTAGAAATACTCAATTAGGCCAACACCCATCAAATCGCTAGCAATATATTTTAGTAAAGAAACATTTAAAGAAACATTTATTTATTTACTGTATTTACTTATAAATATCGTTTCATTATCTTCCTTACAGTAACATTTGTGCATCCGCTGCATAAAACATATGCTGGATAAGTTGGCAGTTCATTCCGATGTGGCCACCCCAGATTAATAAAGGGACTAAGCCAAAAAGAAAATGAATGAAAAAAAAAATTGTTTTGAATGTTTTTTTAAGGTTTAAACTTAACCATTAAAAACATATATAGCGTATAGCCTTGTGTAAGAAGTTTAATCCATCATGGTCTTAAAAAGGTCTTAAAAAGACTTTTAATGGTCTTAAATTTTACATGATAAAACCTGTAGACCTGTTTCTTTTTGCTCTGACTAAATCAACTTCAGATGATGTAATTAAAAGAATAAGCTTTCTTAATTTTCTGTCCTATAGCCTACACAAAAAAATATATATAAAAAGGGAAAAAAATGCTAAAATGCATGTCTTCAATTATAACTGTAAAAGTCAAACCTAAATCTTAAATCTTCTATTCATCGGTTTTACTAGCTCAATTCATGTAAAACATAATTTATCATGGCTTCTCTTAAAGAGCCCATATTATGGGTTTTTGAAAATTCCCCTCCATGTAGTGTGTAACACAGCTCTAAGTGAAGCGAAGTATCCAGCTAAGGCTTAAATCTGTAAGAATACAGTGTTTAAAACGGTTGATTCATCTATAAAAGAGTCGACTCATAGTGCTTCAAACGAGTCGCCTTGATACCGACTCATTAGGTGTTTCGCCATGACGTACGAACGAAACCAAGTTATTCACGTGCACGCGCAAACCCGGGAGATTTCAAACCTGAGGCCCCGCCCTCTGACGCAGAAACCCAGACACACACCCACAAACACACGCACACCCACAAACACACGCACACAAACATGCCGGTCGATTGAAGTCACACTGCAGATGGATATATTGAGTCTCTACCCAAAGATGAAACCTCAGCATTATAACCAAGCAGTTGGAAACTTCTGGAAGCTACATGCTACAAAGAATACTTCATCTGAGTTTGTTAAAGGAAGGATCAGTAAAGAGTAACTGATGGACGTCAGGATGGGTTTCTTCCATTTCTCAAGTGTAAGTACGTGCGGTTAAAGTTGTTGCCTCGTTTACTCTTGCTTGCAAATGTATTTAGTTGTGATTTGTTACTTGTAACCGCGTGTACTGTATCAGGTTAACTGGATATTTGATCTTATCGCGTGCAAAGTCACGTTAAAAACGCGACGCGTGCTGTTTGTTTATGGAGCTCCGTGCTAGAGTTCTGCTCCCGCGATTTATTCGGAAATTTATTCCCGCGCCGCAGAAATCTGGCACGGGGACAGCCGCGGGAATAAATTTCCGAATAAATCGCGGGAGCGGTCGGTAACGGGTTTAATTTGGGACGGGAGCGGGCTGTCTAGCAATATCACGGATATTGCTATGCGAATTAGAAAGAGAGAGTCTGCGTGGTGCTTGTGTGTGTGTTAGTGCGCACGCGCGCGTATGAGAGAGAGAGAGAGAGAGAGAGAGAGAGAGAGCGAACGAACGACAGCTTGGCTGTCTGGACTGTATACTGGGTGATTTTTGGTTGTGTTCTCCGCTCTAGCGGGACCGGGCGCGGCGGGCAGAAAACGGAGCGGGTTCTCAGGCTAAAACCTGGCGGGTGCGGGCGGAAGCGGGAGCGTTGTCATCCGGAGGTGTGTGTGTGTTTTTGTGTGTGTGTGGTATGGCGAGTACACGACTGTCTCCTTCGTTCGGTTATCCGTGGCACTATCCACTCGCCATAGTGTGGCAGCTAAAATCCACGTCTATACTATCGAGCGTGTATGAACTGTGATTACTTTTTAAATTGCTGATTAGCTATTGGCCATTTCCCTCTCTGACTGAAGGCAGTCGACCAATCGCGACAGACTGTCATCGGCCCAATCAGCGCAGATTAGCTTCGCGCTAAGGAGGGGTTTGGGAACAAATGAATCACTGGACGATTCATACAGGAGTCGCTGGGATAATTAGGTAAAAATAAATGCAGATTATAAGACCATGAAAGTGTTTTTTGACCTTGCATGCATATTAGACTGTTGTTGGAGACCCTTACAACCAGGATATGACCCTATTTCATGTATAATATGGGCTCTTTAAAGAAATCCTATAGCTTTACATATGCAATAAGCTGCAAAAGTCACGTGTGAAATGTGTGGTTTCGAAACATTTACTTATGAATCCAATGCCATGTGATCACATTTACATGAAAACCCTGAAGTTTCAGATGTGTTTTCAGATGTCATTTTAGATCCGGCAAAAAATTGGCTATTTTCAAGTTCATGGAGTACCTTTCACAGCATCAATAATATAGTCGGTTAAATTGACCTGAGCATTCATTTAGTTGTTCAAGTGAAAAAGGGGATGAAAGCAAGCAATGTACTAGGATCAGTGAGCACAACTAAAAAGAAACTTGTTGATTTAGTAATGTAAATGTAAGTGTAATGTAAAAAGATGGCAGGATATTTCTGTTTTTAGCACTCCTTTTTTCTGGTGAAGTTTAAGTTAAAGGGCCATGACACCCCCCACTTTCGGTTAAAGTCTACTTCAGAATTTTTTTCAAAAGATGCATGATTAATGGGCGGGGAGCTCCGCGAGCATCGGGCAGGAGTGGGCGTAGCCAGCAGGGGAGAAGGGGAGCGAACAACTGTTGTTGTCAGTTAGCTCACAAAATGAGACAAACCGTGAGGAGACGCATGAGTTTATAGTTTACAAAGTTAAAATGCAAAGAAATGAACAGTGATTTAATGCCCTGCTACATTTGTTATTCATAATTTCATATACAGACAACCCCAATTTATATCATTATAAAGATGTGTGCTCATGTAAACCCTATAAATGAGGACTTCTCCCTCAATCCCCGTATCCAGCAGACTCAGTGCAGCAGGTCTCCTGACCTGTCTATTTTAACCATTAGCCCTGCTGGTAATCTGGAGGATTTAGGCAAACACAGCAGCACAGTGATGTGTCTGAATGTGAACAAACTCCTGATAAAAGACAGCGTCCGCCATTCTCTAATTCTCGTGCTGCTCTCCCGACAAAAATGCTTGCAGCACACACACAGCTTTGTTGTATGATCGGCCCTGACAAGATCGCGGGGGAAAACATGCAACAAACCTTGTGGATGATGGAAACAAACGCATATGAGCCTTCATGAACGGCTAAATACTGTGCCATGGTTTCCGTGTCTCTCAGCTCGGGCTTGACACTGGCAGGTCTCATGAATAATTAAGCAGCCGGCTCTTCTCATAGGATAAGAAAACTCCGCTATGAATAATAATGAGAAACCGGCGCGTCATCATTGCACTTGCAGTACTGCGCTACATCGCCGATTTTGATCCCACCCCAAAAATCATTTTAAACCCGGAAGCTGAAATTATCTGACAAAAGCTCAAAATTATCCAGTTTTCCCCACAATTAAAGCTGACAGGTGCTAACATTGTCTTAACTGATGCTCAACACACACACATCTGTTAATATATAAAAAAAAAAAAGTTCTCCGGGGTGTCCTGAACCTTTAAAAACACATATGTTCATCTTTGAACAGTGACAGCCTGTAATACAGTTTTTGGGAAATATAATTCCTTCACCCGCTGGCCTGTCCAAGACTATGCTTAATAAAGTGTGTGTCTCCATAGAGTTTTCTAACGGTTGAATGAAATGATCTAGTGTTATACCTAATTAGTGCACATTCGTTTGTTCATGACTTGTCTTAAGAAGGTGCGGCTTTGGATGGCAGGGGAGGGTCGTAAAATTTCTAAGCTATTATGCTAAAGCTAGCATTCGGGCAGATCACCTACTGAACCTTTAATGTGAAATACGTCAATATATGGCACTATTTACTCAAGTCATTTAAACCCATGAGATTGTAATTCATCTTCACATCACAAATTAAGAATGATACCAATTCTAAGAAGAGTAATTCTGTGAACTATAATCACTTATAAACAATTTTACATTAGGCCTTTATTAACATAAAAATCACACACATAGACCACATCGCTCACAGTAAATGATGAACTTTGTCTGAACTACACACAAAGATTTATTCATACTGTTCAAATATTAATTTGACAGCACAAGAATCCTGACCTGACTATTCATTTATTTTTTTAAATGTATACAAAATAAATACAAAGAACATGCTTTCAATAAAGAGAAAGTTGGTGAAAACATGCTTTCTTCTCAGACATACAATATGTGTCATTTGTGAAAATGAACAGAAGAAGGCTTAATATTATTTGCTTATTATTTAAAAGGCATGTGTCCAAGTGTAATTTCTATGCGTCATCTTGTAGAGTAACATCTGTGATTTCCCCCACAGTCCAAACACATGCGCTATAGGTGAATTGAATAAGTGGTTTATTAATAAACTAATTTCGAGAGGATCACATGCTTACGATCAACACGGCTGGCTCCACATTAGCTCTGTAATCTGCCCAATCAGATGATTACGGATGCATTATAAATAACCAGAGCTTTTTGGTCCAGGTATCTTCGTCTTGAAGTTTCCCCCTTCCACGCCTACTTCCCCCCTTTTTTTTCCCATAGGGCTGCACTGCGGGACATATCAGAAAAGCAGTGGGGGCGTGTGCGCGTGACGTATCTGAAGAACGGTGGAGGCATGTGCGTGCGATGTACCTGAAGAGCAGTGGGGATGAGTTGCGTGCGACGTACCTAAAGAGCGGTGGGGTTGAGTTGTGGCCGACGTACCTGAAGAGCTGGGAGGGATGCGGCAGAGAGGGGTGTGCAACGTATTTAAGGACCGGGCAGGAGACGCGCAATTTCCGAGAGATTATTATCATTTATTTGCGGGCATCCGGGAGTCTCTATGCATTTGTGGGTAACTCACGGAACTTCTGGGAGACTTGGGATGTCTGCGTGGTTTTCCCCCGGGTTCTCCGGTTTCCTCCCACCGTCCCAAGACATACACCATAGTCAATCTAACAATCCAAAATATTATCATTATAAGATAAACCTTAGTTTACACTTCCCACACGTCGACAAGCAGGGGAGTTCTCGAGACCTACCTCTCTGCCTTTTAATGGGAGGGAGGATATGACGAGCTCAGGGCTCTCTCCCGGGACAGCATGCCAACTATGCTTTATCGATCATCAGCTAAGTGTGAACTCTTAAAAACTAAATTGGTGCAATACCAGAAAATGTGAACTTTGTAGAAACATTGTTTTGTTCCTCATGAAGAAACGGCTCATGTCACACAGGATGAATGCAGTCGTTTTGTAAGGGGTCAGGCTGCATGTCTGAGATTGCATGTCAGAGTTGAGTTTAGGGATAAGGTTGGGTAGTCTATACAGAATAAAAATCATAACATCTACGTGAAGTTCCCATAAAGATACCTTGTGTGTGTGAAAGAGAGAGTACGTGATTTATAAATATTACATTAGCCTACAAAACTGTAGTTCCTTAGTTGTACAGAAAGTGTATTGGCGATTTTTAAAAATAATGTGCTTATTCTGTATACATGATCTCCAATCTTTGCTTTATCTGTTTGGTTTAAATGTGACTTCGGGGTTTGTCGGGCAAAATATTCTTTGGTGTAACTGAAAACTTTCTTGCAGTTCGGTTCTTGATAGACGACGCTTGAATTCATCAGTTGTAAAGTAGTACATCACTGGATCCAGACAGCAGTTTAGACTTGCTAGACACAAGGTAATTGGATGAACATGGAGCACTGCATTCTTAAACGTGGCGCTCATATTAAAATTGGATTTAGTCAAAAAGTCTAAAGGAAAGGTTATGTGATAGGGCACAAAACAAATCATGAATACGCAAGCACAGCTTAACACCATCTTGAGTGCCTTGTGTTTTTCCCCAGTGTCATGCAAAAGGCAGGTTTTCTCTCGAAGACTTGCTGTAGTCAACCACGTACAGGTAATTACTATAGCCAGCGGTAGAAGAAATCCGGTCATTTCTGCGACTGCCAAAAGAGACACTCCTAGTTCCTTTTTGAGTTGCATCATGGGGAGTTCGGCGAAGCAACATTGTGGATTCCTTTCAGATTGTCGTAGAAGAGGAAATGGCAGACATCCAACACAGACAACGAACCATCCGACAAAACACCATCTGCGGTCCTGTCCTTTCATGATGTCACAGCTCAGCGGCTTGAAAATGAGTCGACAGCGTCTCAGACTGATGCAGGCCAGAAAGTAGATGCTAGCGTACATATTGACATATTTCAAATAGAAACAGATCATGCAGGCAGCTTTCCCAAAAGGCCATGAGTTGTTCAAGTAGTAGTAAACGCGCAGGGGTAGTGATAACACCTGGAGCAGATCAGCGATGGCCAGGTTGATCATGAATATCACGGCCTTCTTTGTCTCCTTTACGTAGGCGTAAAAAATCCAAAGTGCTAGAACATTGCCAATCAGTCCAGGAATGAGAATCAGTGTGTAGAAGACTGCATAAATTTGATGCTGATAATCTTGTATCGATGTACTGTTACTGCAGGTGTCACTGACATTCATCTTCCTTTCATTTAACTCAGATTCAGATTGGCTGGCTCCTCAACAACAGTCACTAAGCACCAATACACCTTATCAAAATAAGGTTATTTAAAAAATCTGTGAGACACTCCCAGAAATAGTCTCCTGACATTGTTATTGGAGTTCTTGTTTCAATGTGTTCTGAAAAACAGCAAAGAAAGAAGTTAGTCTCAAAATTAATAACAAAGGCACAGTTATACTTGAACTTGACAAATGTTCCAAATGTAACTTGCTATCCACAGCTGAATTAATTTTTATTTGGTCTGCAAATGTTTTTTTTTTTTTTTGTCTTAAGGCTGATGTATACTTTAGCATTGAGTGATCGAGGTGATCCACAGTGCCTGCCTTGCGCGTAGTAGGACATTTATACTTCTGCGTGCTGTTTGTGTTGCTATGCAATAATTCTTTCGAAATGCTAGCTGGCAGTAGGTTTTTACATTCCTCTGTGTCGTGTAATTTTTTTTTTCTTCTGAACGCTACCCTAATGTACAATTAGCTAAAACTTGCTTATTCAGTGGCGGGAATTGACACACAACTTTAATTATTAGGTAAACACAAAACAACAGTTACCATTTAGGGCTACTTCACAGGAGTCAACACTTGTAAACACTCCAACAGGTTCGCGTTACTCTCGATCCTGCCCACACTGGTTACAGCTACCAAGTCGAACAACCAAAAAACTTGACATATGTGCTAGGTAGGCATAGGCTATGCCGAGGGCTATGCGACTGCACTGTCTTTAAAGGTGCAGTATGTAAGTTTGACACCCAGTGGTTGAGCTAGGTATTGCACTCCTGGTTCAAAGCAAGTGCAGGTTGCCAGATTGACAACATCACCAGGAGCAAGCTTGACCTTGAGCCTAAAGGCTGATTGAAACCGTATACTAAATAAAAGCAACGACACGAAATAGAATGAATATTTTCCATATTAAAAGAAGTGTTTGTCCTAACCAACACCTGGAATTTATATTTTAGAAACGACTTCTCTTTTTTTGCAGCGGAACAACAGAAGCTATGCCAATGATCACCTCAGGTACACCTTGTGCTTTATTAAGTGTTTAATTCTAATAACGTGAATTTGAATGCCATTTTACATGACATTTATTGCTATACTACTTAAAGCAGCAGCAAATAGTTTAACTCAGACCTTAAAAATAAAATAAATGTGTTATCAATCATTTAGCATGTACATATAATAATGTTGAAGAGGTTTAATATGTATTAATTTGACCATAAACCATTACCACTAAGTGGGATGCAGTAAGTGCACTATTCTGTGCTTCTGAATGTCTATATATAAATTTCTGTTGTGCTACATCTGATGCACACAGCCAAGTCTGCTACTGTTCACCAGAGGCCGCATTTCAGTTGCAGACACATCCTTTTAGAGCCTTCCTAATTGAATGATTTAAATGCGTACTGGCAGTGGGTGGGTTAAAAAACCCAAAACAAAGACAAAACTCCCATCTTCAAAGCAGAATATCTAATCTTCACTTGGCATGTTTCTTAAACTTTTACATTCCGGGACCCACCTAGACAACTAATTCAATCTCAAGACCCACAATAATATTTTAATTTGGAAAAATGGGTGAAAAATGTATCCATTCAAAGAAATCAAATATATTGATTCCTGTTGTACGTTCTTTCAGTTCTTTGCAAAATAAAAAATTCTTAAAGATTGTCAGTGGAGTCAATGTACCTGACACAAACCAGCAAATTTTTGCAACACCTGTGCTTTCGTCAAGTTGTCGAGCAAATGCAGCACTACTGCGGATGTTTTCACTTGTTTGTTCGCGTATATCATAAGACATTTCCTCAGTACGCCGTTGTACTGTATTATTGGAAAGTAGAACTTTAGCTATCTTTACTGCAGCATCTTTACCCAGCATTTCCTCAACAATGTCTATGCAGGCCGGCAGCAGAGGCTCCTCTCCTATGGTGTGTGGCTTTTTGGATTTTGCTACTCGATAGGCAAAAAATGAGGTTCGAAGTTCTTTTCGTGGGCTGCTGGCTGTAACTGTGATTTTTTTAAAAAGATGATCAACCTTTGTTGCTATATGCAGAATGTTTTGTTGTTAGGTGACGTTTAAGTTTCAATGATTTCATGCTAGCACTTGCAAGCTTTTCTTAGCATAAAGGACAATGCAGGACTTCCTCACCCTCTGGACCTCTGCAATAAAACCAAGATCAAGGTAGGACTGATCATATTTTCTGTGTGGCTCCTTTTTAGATTTGGTTTGATCTGAAGACGTGTCAGTCTGTGACATCTTTAGTTTTAAACTTTTCTATTTTAATGCTGCACATTACTGATGTAGACACATGACACTTCAACACAAATGAATCGGACTCAGTCATTCAGTGAATGCTGATTCAGACTGTTTCAGTTCATGTGTTTTAACCTAAATTATTTTTTTGAAAAACAGAATCGTCTCTAAAGAGTCGTTCGCTCATTATCGAACTGGTTTTGATTCACGGTAACGTAAATATAGCTGCAGCTAAGTGACGTTGCGTGACCCACGTTTCCTCACTGTGCGACTGACTAGTGGGTCGTAACCCACAGTTTGAAAACCCCTGCTTTAAAAGACTTACATACAGCACCTTTAAAGTAAGATTTGCATGTCACAATAAACACATTTGTGTCTGCTGAGTTAATCTTTTTTTATCCAAAATTTCTGTTTAATGTTTTTTATACATGGACAAAATAAGCTTGACAAATGTGTGTAAACCTTTTTGTAACAATATTTCAATGTTGGCATAAAATAATTTTGACCAAATTTAAAATGGTCGATACCCAAAATGGCTTACTTGGGATAACTGGATATCATCTGACTTGGCATGTTCCTCTAAATTTTAACAGTTTTGTGATGTTTCGACAACATTTATGTGCAAAAATATCATTTTTTTTACTATCTCTGGATCACCAGAGCAGTGGTTTCCAACTTTGGTCTTCAGGACCCCCCACCCTGCACATTTGTATGTCTCTTATTTGAAACGCAATGATCAGTTCATGGATCTCTCTGTTAATATGCTGATGATCTGAAACAGGTGGGGTTTTTTGTAAGCTTATTGTGAAATTTTGGTTGCACTTATTAACTTATTTGTAAAGTTTTTGATTAGCACAAAATCTGCAGATCATGATGAAAGTTTTATCAAATAGGTTTTATGAACAATTAAACATAGTGGAATTTTTTTTAACTGATTAAATATTATTTTATTTTAGTGTTTATTAGACTAAGAATTTCCAGTCTGAGCCATTTGGTTAAAAAAAAATTATTACATAATTTACATGAGTGCAATTTTTGGACAAGTGGTGGCACTAGAGCGTTTGTGGCTCCAAATTTGTTGTGGTTATAGTAGTGTCAGTGTGCCAAATTTTATTACTTTGCTGCAAACGCTTATATGGGCTGCTGTAGACTTCCAGAGCGGGAGAAGAAGAATAAAATGAGTTAAAATAGATGCCTATGAACATTTAGTGCTTGGCCCCTAATTAATTTACTTTAACTGTAAAGTATTGATTTGGCAGTAAAGCAGTGACTTTGAGATTGGATGCAGTAAACTTACTTCTAGTAAAGAGATTAAAAACTAAATTCTGTCATCATTTAGTCACCTCCATGCAGTTGATCTTGCATCAGACACAGACTGAGTGAAATATGTTCAACGCTTAATTCTTCACAGAACATGTGTTAATGATTTACATTCGTTCATCATCATGTTGTTTCATGTGTTTCATTCATGTTTGTAACACAACTTAAAATATTTTCAATTAAATCTGAGACCTTTCTGATTTTTTGTACTGCCAACCTGATTTCAGCAATTAGGACATGTTCCTGGATTAATATCTATGATGATCCTAGAACAACATGCCAATCAAAATTGAGGGATATGTTCACCGTTTATGTTAAATTTAGGCTTACTATACATATGTTACATATATAGATGTTACAGATGTTACAACATAGTTGTTAAACCAGTATCGCATCATACTTGGCAAAGTCATGACATGCCTATTTGAACTTTGAAGTTGGGAACCTTGCTGTCTAAAGAGAATGAGGGAGCTCTCAGATTTCATTTCAATTTTGATATTTGGCTGAACTAACCTTTAATAAAATGATTTTGTCTTTAATTCCTAGTATAAGACTTCTTTTGGTAACTGGTAAAGAATTGAGAAAGCTTTTACATTTAAGAGTCATTGTCCTATAAATACATTATGTAAGTTTCAGAACACCTTTTTAGTCTAAAAACAGCTCTTATTGAAGCCAGTCTGCCAAACGGCTGTGTACTGAAATAACCACAGCAAAGACATTTTAAGAGGCAGTGGCCATGTCAAAGCAAAAAAAAGAATGTTCATTTTAACAACAAATTACACACAAAAAAAAAAATTATTATAGAACAAGAGGATTTGTAGTTCCCAGCCGAGCAGCAACCTCCTGCTCTCCCTCATGAAGCAAATATAAAAGTAAATGAAAAAGCAATTCATTGAAATTCCACTAGTCCTGGAAAATTACCAGCTAAATCCAGCTAAAACCAGCTTGACCAGCCTGGTTTAAGCTGGACATAGCTGGTTTTGGCTGGGGTCCCAGCCTGGCTAGGCTGGTCAAGCTGGATTTAGCTGGTCATTTTCCAGCCTGACCAGCTAAAACCAGGCTGAAAATGACTGGAAACCAGCCTGGAAGTGGCCAAAACTCCTCTAAAACCAGCCTGGTTGACCAGCTAAAACCAGCCAACCAGCCTAGGCTGGTTTAAGTTGGATTTTTCAGCAGGGATGTACTGCGTGTTGGCAGCTTAATTAGCAAAAATGTAGTTTGTTTCTTTGCTCAGTGAGCAATAACTATCCTAATTAGTTCTGAGATCAGTTTCAATCAACTGTATATGTAACTTATGAAATATGCTTAAAAATGTCTCTTTTAGTTCTTTTAGTTAAATGTCAAATGAAACTTGACAGACTTCAAAATAGTACGACACATACTAGACATACACAATATTAACAGACATCTAAGTTTAGGTTAAATAAAATTGTATTTAAACTTTTATTTGATTTAATCATGTTGGACCAACTCAAGTGCATTTAATTGTGTAAATAGTTTTTTTTTTAGTTAGTGATAAACTAATTTATTAGATGGAAATCCAATGGGTTTTATTTTT